GCAGCAGCAAACGCAGCGCTTCATGGAAGTCCTACAGAGACGGAGGGACGTTTTGTTTGGGAGTTTTCTGGGATGGGAGTACGTGCAGATGGCACGGGCCACGGTTTCTAACCTGACACTGCAGCAGAGCAGAGCGCAGCCTGCTCTCCCAGCTCTCCAGACCACAGCAGGCCTGTGACCAGCTGTGATTGGCTGAGCTCAGAGCCTCCTGCAGCTCCTGGAGCTCCACACTGTCACCCTGCAGGAAGTGACGCGCGCTCAGGTTGACGGAGATCATCAGACACTTGAAGCTGTCAAAAGTCCTCTGCATCTCCTTCACAAACCAAAGACAAACCCTTCTTTAGAAAACCACAGCTGAAACCTCCATTTTCTTTTCTGGTCGACTTCGTAGTCACCTTCAGCTTCCTGATGTTGATCTCGATATCTCGGATGCTGGTGGACGGTGCGATTCGCTGCAGCCTCCCTAGCTCTGGCAGCACTCTGCCCAACCAGGAAGTGACATCACAGAGGTCAGAGTTGAGCTTCTGCCACTGCTCCAGGTCCTGCTCAGTGCTCCGATCACTGGTCTGTGCCTTCTGCAGCTCCCAGCGCTCAGTCACACCTGAAGAGACATCAGTCAGTCTGAGTAACAGACCTGATGCTATTCTAAACGATCGTTGCTGTCTGAGTCGAGGGTTGCCTAAATATAGGAACATCTGCCATCTACAGTAGGTTAGTAGATAATAAAACTACATCTGGTCTTTTGTTCACACCTGTCCTGCTGTGCTTGCTGACCACGCTGCGGGTGAGACCTGAATCTTCAAGCTCCTCGTCATCATTGAGGACCAGTTTGACTCTCTTCACACTGGCGATGCTGTTGTTGCACTCGGACATCAACTTATCCTGTGCAAACACAACGTTACCAGACGTTATCACGGACATGATCTTTGGAATCATCTGGAGGCGTGGCGTGACTGCGAGGTCTTACGTAGCCACGCTGGTGCAGAGGAACGCCGCTGGTCGGAGACGGGCTCAGCCCTTCCATGATTTCTCCAGGAAGCCACTTTCTTTCCTTGGACCCGGGGTGGTGCCAGCTGGGTGGGTCTGTCACCGACTTCACTGAAGTAGAAGAAATCAAGTTTGTCGCAACAGATCCACATAAATGAATGGAAAATCAAAAGCTACAGCCACGAACGCCAAAAAGCAAGACACGCTAACAAACATAACCCGGAAAAATGTTCTAAATCCTGAGAGACTAAAACACAACCATGAGAAAAACATGATCATCCCCAAAACATTCAGTAGCTTCATGGATGATCTTCTGTAATCACCTGACAAAGCACTGTAGAAGGTGACATCTTCATCATCCTCATGTGATGAAGATCCTCCCACATCGACGGTGTGGTCCCACTCCAGAGGGATGGAGTCGATGCTGACGGGGGTCTCTCTACCGGATCTCTCTGGAGGAGGTACCAGGAGGTGGCACATGTGCTGTCCTCCTGAGACGACCCTTGTTGCCGCTGCATCTGCCTCCTCCTTCCTTCCCTTTGTCTCTGACCAGGATGTTACGTTGGACACATCAGGAGAGGTGTACAAGTCTGTGTCGGGGTCGGACGTCTCCCTGTCGTCATGCAGGACCTGCAGGAAGAAGAAGTCAAAGACGTGAACATGGCTGGAAGTGGCTTTGTTTGTTCTACCTAAATAAAAGCGGAGAACCTGCTACTGACCGGCCTCTTGTTCACGAGGCGGTGGTGGAAGCGAGCCACCCTGCCGAACACCTCCTGACAGTAAGAGTGCAGCTCCTCCAGCTCGTCCTCGATCAGCACGGCATCAAGAGGAGCGCTCTTCTGGATGAGGTTCTCCCCAAACACGATCAGAGCATCAATCTTGTTGGTGTTCAGCGTGATCTCCTGCTGGAAGCCCTGCACACGGGACACGAGTGACACCAAATGTCCCAAGTCACGGGCCCCACGTTGGACAGCCCTTCTCCAGGACTCCGTATGTGGAGTTGTAGATGTGAGAATGTTCTTAAGCATCTCCGATATTGGATGAAACGTCTTCAGTGTTTTTAAAGTCTCTTACCTTTAGTTGTCTCATCTTGTCTTCAAAATCACTTTCAGAGAAGTGCTCCACGTTGGTGAGCTGGAGGTCCATCTCCGTGAGCCAGACTAGGATTGCCTCACGAGTTCCTTCAAAGTCTTCTCTTTGAGACGTGAAATGCTTCACAGGACAAACA